CTGCATAACTCGGTTAGCGTCAAAGTCTACGATGAGCTAAGTAAGTCGTTCAAACTCAATGGGGATGTTCTTCAAGGGCACAATTTCGCCATTCCTATAGAACTTCGTCATAGACGAAATACTGGAGAACGCACCAAATGGTCTCATCATCATCATACAGCGAAATACAGTGAAGGGAACTTTACTGATCGCTCTCAATGCCTACAAGATAAGGAGTAAAATTTAAGGTGGACTGGGATTGGACATACTTTGACGGGAAAAAAGCAGGTGAAGCACTTTGGTCAACACACGAAGTGCATAATCGAACTGTGCGTACATACTGTTTCAAGCATTCTGACCTGATAAGAAACGACAAACAAGAAACAACAACACCACTGCTGTCGGTTCGCTGCTGTATCCTTCAATGTCTCCAACCATCCAGTTGTGGAGTCTTTCGGACCCCAACCTAGAAGGCGAGAGATACCTACTCTACCTAATGGCTCTGTGCATTTCTTCATGCCTCGTCTCCACGTCATCTGTTGACCTCCACGTGGTTTCCTCCAGCCCGGATTAGCCACAGCGAATAAAACGCGGTGCGACAGACGATGGCTGGGCATACGCAATACGTGCCCTAGCCAGCGAAGTCTACTAATCTGAATTTAGTGTGCTAGCAGGTTTATGCCTGACAGACTCCCCAACACACGACGGCTTATCTCCACGTTACTAACCCGTTCGCTCCATCCAACGTGGGTTAAACTGCGTAAACACCGATAATTGAAAACTTCTAGTCGACGGATATCTTCTACTCGCAAATTCAGGGTCACAACCACAAAGCAGAACTGAACGAACGCCAGCACAATATACACGATCATTCAACTTCAGTGAAACGTCGCGTCTACGCCCAAGGTATTTCAGTCCTGCGTATACTGCTCAAGCCTTGGAAATGCGGGCGGTTATCTCCTTTGCTGCACTATCGTCATTGGTCACGCGACTACCTATGTAGGAAAAGTAATCCACCACAACTAAATCCTGGCCATTTAGTGTCAGAGCGGGAATAGACGAAACCCAGTCCTGCAGCGTCACTGTGCACTTTGAAGGTGCAAAGCACATACCGAACGTGGCTACTACTCTTGTTAATCTATCAAGTGCGCTTTGCACGTCCTCCATACATTCGAACACACAGACGATGTCATTGGCGTACTCAAAATCGCACAGCTTTTCTCCAGCTGTCCATTCAATACCTACGTTTTGGAGTCCCCTTAGTGCGCTCTCCAGTATTTCGTCTACGACGAAATTGAACAGGAACGGCGAAAGAAGGCACCCTTGACGAACGCCGCTGCTGGTGACGAACAGCCTACCTAGTTCGTTGTAGACCCTTACACGACCGGAGGTATGTGAGTACAGTGACCTCAGAAGAAGGGAGCCCGTGTGATGCTGCGGTAGGATTTGAGCACAAGATCGCTGGGATGCTGTTATAGTGATCGTAACCGTTTTATTGTATTTGACGGCGAATGCTCATTCCCTTTTAATATTTGTTTTTCCCCACCAGCCTCAGTTAAGCGTACGTAATTCTTCCTCACGAAGTGGGTTTTCCCGTTTCAACGTCTGACTGTTCTCACTACCATCAAACGAACTCAGGCATTTTAGTCCTAAAAATCGATTGTACGTTTATTACGAGTCAAAAACGGATGCCATGAAAGATTATTGTGTTTAATATCATGAAAATAGTAATCGTTTTCAAATAATCAGAAAATATTTAACCAACCTAGGATCTGAAACCAATATTTCGGAGAACTCCCTATTCTTAGCATATCGTTTCCTAGGGTTTGATCAACTTCATGGTTGATGCCTGCAGTAGCGATGTTCGGCTATCCTTTGAATGATCCGTTATCGATGATAAAAAATATACCGGAAAACTATCTGATAGTAGTCTGTATGGTTTATTTATTCCACATTTATCATAAGCCATGCATTAAAATTAACCCGGACACGAGTGCGACCAGCGAAATCTTCTAAACGAAGTGCAGAAACGAGTAAAGGGTAATAGAATGAAAAGGACGACATGAGGACGAAACTCCACGTGACTCTCGATCTTCTTTCTTATTCCGGATACTGCCGTGCTTCTAGAATGTTGGCGCGCGCATGTGTGTGGGTCCGGTGCCCACTTTTGCCGCGAATAATTTTCTTCTCACCCGAGGTTGCCTAATTGGTTCCCATCATTCCTACATAACTCTTTTACACTCCTTAACTACTTTTATACCTAGTAAGAGAAGAATCCGTCTTTTCAGAAAATCCGAAGCTTACTTCTGCGTTGAGTCATTGCGGCAGATGTCAGATGAGCATATTGTAATTTCAACTTCATCGAGCAACGCAATGTCTCTAAACTTCAAAACAACGCGTCAGCAATTTATCATGAAATGCTATGGCTTGAAAACTGACAGTAAAAACGTTAGAGACCCTCGAAATCTAAAAGAAAGAAAGAATTATCGCCAATGGAATTTGTGCTTTACACAATCGACCGAAATCGTGAACATCAGGTGTCAGCTGCAACCAATCTAAGTAGGGAGGTTGTAGAAATCAGGGATTTATTCACATGAACTGAACTACAAGTGGCATGAACGCTCGTTTTCATGCATATATGTGGGACCGAGTGAAGGTCAAGCGAACGCCCACCACGTCCGTGAGTCACTCGAAGACCGATTTTCCAACCATGGATCAGCCAGTGGCCTTGTCGCCTAGAAACATCATGAAAGTCATTCAATCGATAAACGTACATTCAGGTAATGGCGAGGATCGCCTTTGCCATTCTGATCTGTTTTATTCCCACAACAGTGGATATTTTCGCATGGACCATTTACTCACACAATGCCCTTCGGCTTCTGTCCAAACCAACCGGATAATTCCGGCGCCATGTGATAATCAGTATGATCAGCGAGTCACGCATGAGCCAAAGTACTCCAATCAAAGTCTCGCTGGTAATGTTACTCAACCTTACCAATAGGTGTTTGGAGATTGAACAATAAACTCCATTTAAAATATGATGTGAGGTTTCCGTTCTTCATTGTGTCTATCTCTGTTGATACGAGTGGGTCCATGTATGCGTTTGTTCGGTGCAAAAATCTCTAAAAAAGCGCAGTACATCAGCCACTTATTGATTTATGTTATCCTGTAGTTTTATTCTGTTTCGTTTTTTCTCGCAACTGTATAACTTTGGTTTGATCGTTTCAACCATTCCTTTTACAGCTGACCATTGTATTCCTGCAGTCACATCTTCTCTGGCATGATAATGCTAGAGCAGAAAGGTTTACAAGTTCTCATTTATCGAGCTGTGTTTCTCATCAAGCGATTTCGTAAGCTTTTGGAGTCGTATGTGACGGTGAGTGTGCATGTGGGTGGGTGTAATATCTCCGTAAATGTTTCTATTTCATCGCGGTGTGGTATCTTGGTATGCATGTGGTATATATGTCAACCCAAAACAAAGCAACCAGTCTGATTGGATTTTTGAATGCCTTGGATTTCACGGGTTCCAATCACGTGCTGTGGTACCCGCAGAAAGAGGGCATGGTGTTCTTGTAAGACACTGTTAGACCTCATCTTTCACAGTAAATAAAAAAATTCGTTGATGTCGAAACTAGTCACCCAGCTTCTAGTTTCTATATTATAGTGGGATCCTAAATGCGGTTTGATGAGGTTATTCAAATAAGCATGACGACGAATTCTCAGGATACCTCTCTCTACCCAAATTTTTACACAACCCACGTAACTGTAGAATACAAACAATAAACTATAACTTTTTTCTTTCGTTAATGCACAAAAGGACTCGCGAGAGAGTGTGTGCTAAGTATGCACCCCGCGACAAGCTTCATTTTGTAGAATCGTTTACAGTAAGATTGTCAGAGTATTACCTATTCAATTCTGTACTAAATACTATAACCGTATGTAGGCGATGGTAATCACTGTAAATAAAATAAATAAATTGCCTGATTGTACGTTATCCACCGTTCCGTAGTTTTGACCGACAATCATCTTTGAAAGCAAATTGCAATACCGTCCCACCTCGTCTTATCTTATCAGCTGGTGAAATAAAAATCATGTATTTTTTGTTAAGAGCATGTCATTGATAGGATAGGAATGTTAGCAGAACAAATGACACCAAAAAATTACTTAGGGGAATATGAGAGCCGAGGAAGTAATTAGGTAAGAAAACTATGGAATATACCGCCTTATTATCATGGGGATCACACCTCTTATTTCAATTCACAACTCACATAGATCACGGCTAGGCAGACAGTAAAACTTCCTTTCCGTATTCTCTGAATTTAGGCCTTTAGAACAGAGCATTTTCGGACAAACCAGCGAAGGTGAACCTTATGCACCGGGATACGCAACAGGGAATTTCAGTGATCCCATTAAGTGAAGAAGTTGAACCAGTAACCAAGGGATGCTATCTCAAATGCAAAACAGATCAATGTCAAACGCTTTAACTCTAATAAGTGAGCAGTATTGAGCATCGCGTCTCATGAATTCTACCCATATGGTTTCGATAAATTATTCCATAATCGCTAAGTTCATCTATGTCCAGGCACCTCTTCTTGATCCGAATCAATATCTAAGGATGAAGAAACACTTCTGTCACGACAGCAGAACCCACGCGTTCTGATCGCAGTGGACAGCTTTGTCGACATACGGATATATATTCGCGATTTAAACTTCCTTAGTGCAGCAGAATGTTCTTTCAATGGCTAACAAAAGGCGTTGAGCAGCTGTTACGTCCTAGACAATACTTGTCAGTAATGTGTTCTTTTCGTAACTCAGCGATGGGCACTCAATATACGGAATAGATGGCCCCGTTCGCACTGAAGAAGTTTTATTGGTTCTGATAGCATAGCGATATGCTACACACACACACCTGCCAGGTTTCGCATCAATTACTGTTTACTTAGTGGATTATGCACAATTTGATGACCAGTATTCGGCTCCAGGGTGCACACGCACTACACTGGTGTTTTCACGCCCTGGCTTCGGTTGACATCTTCGGGTTACTCCTCCAGTCAACTAGCGAGCAACAATACCAAAATAATAAGCAAAAAGCTGTCAGAGTTTCAACTAAACAAACTTGAAACATTCATTAATTGGGTGAGTATTGAGCTAACTCTTCAGAAGCGAAACTGACACATGCACAGAGAAAAACTGGCAGAACGCACGGAATGAAGTGAATTTCAAATTACACGTGGACTTGATTTCCCACCCCACCCTCTCCCCCGCTTCCCTAACCATTGTCCATTTTACCACTGTAGTTATCAAAAACTTGCTTCTATAAATACCAGATTGTTTTACGTTGTAGCGACTGAAGAGATTAAAAGAAATGTTAACATCTCGCAGTATTTGTCTTCTATCTGTTCTAACGAATTGGATAAAGGGGACGCAATGTTTCAAGTTACACGGTGTCAATTGCAGTATGGTTCTATTATTTCTATGCCGGTACGATTCTGTCTACCCGAAGTTCATATA